CGGGAGCGCCGCCACGCTCCCAAGCACCGCACTCTACCGAGTGCGCCACCGGGCCGGCCCTGGGCCCTCCCTTTTTACCTTCTCCCTGAAGAGAAGCATTTGTGTGGAACTGCTTACACAGCTCATGTGCAAGAACCTCTAACTCAGGAATCTGTGTTGAGGGAGAAGACACAAGTCCTGACACATCTCTGGAGCAAGAAAGCCCAGCAGACGACATTGTAGGAATTTAGTTCATGTCTTTGGGCATTTGTCACGTCTCGCAAGGACCTTTCTAGCCCTTTGTTTTGTGTTTTTTTTTCCTGACAGTAATATAAACTGACTCACACATGAAGACTGGAAGCTGTTCCATTCTGTGGTTCTGTGGACTGACCTACTGACAGTTGATCCTTGCTTAACCTTTAGACCCAAAGTGTTTTCCCATATTTCAGAATGACACCTGTCTCCTGCCTTCTTTGACTCCAACAGCCTTCAATTCTGTATCTTTCTCATGAAAGATGGTGATGAGAGCAGCTACTATTTGTTGAGTGCTTGCTTTGTGTCAAGCACTGTACAATAACAGCATATGCTCATGTATGTGCACATTAATTCTATTATGATCCCCAGTTTCCAGATGAAGAAACTGGGCTTAGAGAGGATAAAATAGCTTTCTCCAAGTCACCCTGCAAATAAGTGATGGAAACAGCTTTCAAGCCCAGGCTTAGTTTACAGAAACATCTTGTCTGATGATGAATACCCAATTTCTCAAAGCAGCAGAAAATGAAGAGTATAGTAAGTGCTGCAGCCACAATTCAAACCTGACAGTTTGGTTCTAGGATGTGTGCTTTTAACCATTATTCTACACTGGCTCTCACATATACAGTCATATGAATAAATTAATGAATAGATGGACAAATAAGTATTGGTATACATGACTTTTTGTTACTTGCTTTTGGTCACAGAGAGTTTTTTTTTTGGCTGACTCTGGACAGTCCTATTTTGGGGGAACTCTAGATCTCTAAGCATT